CCCGCCCCTCCCCCCGATACAGCCACTCGCTGGATTGAGAGGATACGAGGGCTCAATCAACTGGAAGGCCACGGAGGGAATCGCGTGGTGATTTGCAGTGCAGGGCCACTGTAGTGGAACCGATGGAGATCCACACCGTCGGAACAGTTCCATTAGCAAGGGTGTGAACTGATAACTGAAGTAACCGGGCTGGCGTATAGGCACTCCTCCTCCTCCTCCTCCTCCTCCTCCTCCTCCTCCTCCTCCTCCTCTTCCTCCTCCCGTGACACAGTCACTCGCTGGATTAAAGTGGTAAGGAAGATGCAAATGCGTGATAGTTCTAAAGCCGGCGTATATAACTCTGCCATTTTTTAGAAAGATAACCCTTTGATATCACTCAAGTGGGGCTGCAGGATCAAACCTCGCCAAGATTGCAATCACAATCGACTGTACAGTGAACCAGTGGCTCAATAATGTGGCCTTTGATCTTACGTTTGCCATCTTGCCCCAACATATGCTACGTTCATTTTCTGCAAATTACTGGCATTTTTCCCCTTCTCCTTCAAAACCGAACTGGATTGCGATCATTTTGATGGTTAGGACACACTAACTGCCAGAACTGCTAAAATCAGATGGGGGCGTGAAGTGAGGTCGTTTAACTATGTAAACGCGGGCAGTCTAGTCCTCTGTGCAATGATTTACCGTACTAACAACACAGGTATTAGCTAAAAACCCAGACACGCGTGTTTCGCCGATCTTAGGCCGCTGCCTGACGCAGCTGCGAGGGGTTCGGCTCGTCAGTGGGTCCCCCAGCTTCCCCTGTGTGTTTCTGGTATATGAACTCCAGTTTCAACTTGCCTTGTTTACTTTCCGAGGAAATTAATGCGCGAACTTGGAGTAAATCTTTCGAAACGGGCCTTTTCAGGCACGGTCCAAAGGTTTGATATGAATATTTGAGCTGAAATCCATCAGCTACTGCGGAATAACCGCTTAATATTCACAAACCGCCAGCATGCAGCCAGTTTGTGAATATTAAGCTGTTATTCCGCAGTAGCTGATGAATTTCAGCTCAAATCTTCATATCAAAATTTGGAGCGTGCCTGAAAAGGCCCGTTTCAAAAGATTTACTCCAAGTTCGCGCACTAATTTCCTCGGAAATTAAACAGGGCAAGTCTAGTCCTCCTCGTCTTGCCAGTAACCCAAACGACGATGTTCGTGAATCTCTCCTAATTTCGTACTTTTTAGCCTCCGAGGCACACTAATTGTCCACGTCAGTTGAAGAAACCTTTCTGGCATAGACGACAACAGTTTCTATTCTGGCTGTCACCATTAGCTAGCCATAACACCATTCCTAGGACGATAATACTTACAATCGGATACCAGGTATAATAAGTCACTGACGGCATGGGGAAACAGTGGCCCGGTGATGTGGCGTTTGATCTTGCGTTTTCCAACTTGCTCCAACGTATTCTACGTTCAGTTTCTGCACGACTCCTCCAAACGGGACAGGGTCGTCGTAATTTTGGTGGTTAGAACATACCAACTACCAGAACCTCTAAAAATCTTCAGCGCGTCCCGCAGCGTGAAACACCAACGGAAAAAATTCCTTCGATAGCTGATATGATATCAGTCAAATGGGACTGCAGGACCAAACTTCGCCAAGATTGCGAATCACAGTCAACGGTACGGTGAACCAGTGGCTCAGTAATGTGGCGTTTGATCTTGCGTTTGCCAGCTTGCTCCAACGTATTCTACGTTCATTTTCTGCACGACTGTTGCTAGTGTGTTTCCCTTTCTCCTCCAAACGGGACCGGGCTGTCGTAATTGTGGTGGTTAGGACATACCAACTACCCGAGCCGCTAAAATCTAACGGGGGGTGTGAGTTGCGGGTCCCTTAACTGCATAAACATGGACAGTCTAGTCTCTCTCACCTTGCCGGTAGCCCAAGCGAAGCTGTTCGTGAATCCTCCTACTTCCTTACTAATAAGCACTCCCCTGATCAGTGAAAGGAGCCTTATTTACAAAGACAAGGATGCTGTCTTCAGCCAGTCATGCAATCTAGAACGCGAATACCTGCAGTTTGTTGCCAGATATAACCGGCCATTGAGTCCAACGACCAACGCGCCGAATCATGGGTTCGCACTCCGCTAACCACACGGGCAATACTTAAAGGCAGATGGGATTGACACTCACGAGACTGAACTTGGAGCAAAGTGAACCACTCATGGGCGGCTCCACAATCGTGTATGCCCATTCCGTCTAACTGTATCGAAATCTAAAGCGAATTTCTACCCTACTTTGCATCTTCGGTTGCCTGGGTCACTGATGCCCATCTACCATTGATACAACATGATGCATGTGATTTGCGTGCGAGAAAATCGGTCAATGAATCAGCCAAATTTAAATTTTCATTGTTACTCTTTACCTTTTTTCCTACTTCATCATAGGTGAAGTGCCCAGCTAATCGGCCTCGTGCAGATATACTTTTCTCTTCCTTCGCTGCCTCGGTCTTTGGGAGGATGTGTGAAGGGTTGTCAGCTGGGTGTGATATGAGTCACGCCTCGAGGGAGGGGAGTGTTTGAGCCTCTGCGGAGATTGTTCGGTCCGGCGGCCTCTTTTGTTCTTCCCCCACTCTCTGTTGAGTGTGTTCGGCACCGGGCTGTGCCTGCGGAACTTTCCGAAATTCTGTGTGGCAGCCTTTTCCTGGCATTTGTGCACGTAATGACGCAGGACTTTGTAAGCTGCAGGGAGGTCAAGATGACTGCTGGTGGCGTTAGCATCTGAATACCACACCTCAGTGCTAGTCGCCCCGTCCTTGAATTGCCCCGCCCAACATGCGCACTGCCCGAAAGTCAAAGATACGGGTAGTTTCTCTGATGTGCGTTACAAGTTGTGGGTTCAGACCTGTTCCCCCAAATGCCTATTTACGTTCATGTAGGTGGGTCTGCAATTATTCGTCCGGTCTCCCCAACGTATTCGCAGTCCCAATCATTGCAACATATTTTGTAGACAACTGTCGAGGTTTCGGTGAGTGGCAGCGTGTCCTTGGGCTGCATCAAACGGCAACAAATGGTTGCCTGCGATCGATGGGCTATGTCTACTCCGGCGGGTCGTAATGGCTGAGAAACCGCCTCAGAGACATCCTTGATGCAGGGGCTGACCCCCCAAACTTCGGATTGCTGCTGATTTGACCATCATCTGTTCGCTCGGCTCCTACATTGCTCAGTAAGATGGCTTGTGTATCCACTGGCTCTGAAGAGGTTATGAAGGTATAGCTACTCAAGTCCTTTGTCTATTGAAGTGCTGCAATGTGCTCCAACTCTAAGTAACAGAGTTCGGATACAGCTGAGTTTTTTATACTATGGTGGGTTGCTGTTGATGTACAATATTTGAATTGCGTTGGTAGCTTTTCTGAATACTGTAGTTCTCAGCTGCCCAGCTACACACCGATGCACAAGGACGCCCAGGAAGGGGAGTCGGCTGTTTGTTTCGGTTTCCACCGTGAACTGGATATTCGCGCCAATACAGTTCAGTAACTTCGTAAGGTACTTGGCGTGAATTGTTTAAACAAGGACGAAATTGTCTAAAAAACGGGCCCAAAAATTGGGTTAATACTTAGTCGGCACCAAGTGTTGTATACGTTGAATGAACACTAGCCAATGTGTCATTAAAATCATCCTCGAACAGACAATCTGAACGACTGTTGGGGACCCGCCTGTACCAAAATCCTTAAGAAAACTTCAAGAAAATGTCCGATGCTACTGTTGGATGCTACTGCATCCGCAGGAACCGATGCCCTCCACAACCCTGGTCCAGCGGTGCGGACGTATAGTATGCAAATTGGACTACTCAACCAGGAACGGACTCTTGGTATCGGGTGCTGGAATGTACGAACGTTTCTGGACTCTGGCACCCGAAGTCTGACGGCGCGCAGTCTTCACCAGTACTCGTGGATATGTGCTGTCTGTCTGGAGTCCGAACCCCCCACTCAGGTGGAAGAGAAATAAAGATTGCAGAAGTCACCTCCTACTTCACCCTATGTCACAGCGGCCCATGTAACTCTTCTGGGAGATCATGCACTGCTTGCGTGCAAACTGCCGGTGATCGGGTGGCTTACGTTCAAGTGAAGAGACAATATACCAACATCAGCTACCCAGCAGCACGATGGGGAGGCCTTCTACGCGCAACAGCAGAGGCTAGTTAAAAGACTGCCTCGCTATGATCCGCTGATGTCTGCAGAGTAGCGGGATGGCCGAACTGGACCTGACGACTCTTTAAACAGCTATCTTATTGGCCGCTTTATTTTTGACTCTCGATGATTAGAACCGACTGCTTGTCACCAAAACGTGCTACCAACATCGCCGCAAACATCTGCTCAGGCTCACCTGATGTGCAAACGACAGCCACACGGCCAGTCAGATCGATAATATTCCAGTTGACTAAGATTCCACACCTAGCTTAACGTGGTGGCGAGACAAGGGTAGCACACATGGGTGTGACCACGTTCTTGTTCGCACACGCCTGAACGTTCACCTCTCACTTACACCCAAACTGACACACCTGCTAGACGCCTTGAAGTTGCAAAACTTCGAAAATCCATCGGTGTCGAGGGCCTGAGCGGAGAAATCCGGTCCCGTTTAACGATCCGAGTCGACAGAGAGGACACTAGACAATGGTTATGACTGAAATGGCCAGGCTATGAGGCAGCTGAGAAAATTGTTGCATTCACCCTGCGGCGACGCAGTGACTAAATCAGCAGAAAACTCTGCAGTTGTATGAAACACAACTGTCTACTCAAACACTGATAGTAGGCAAGCTTTATGCATTTCAGAAATTAACCGAAACACAAAACGAAAATTTAGCGTGCTTTCTTCAGGCTCCATTCATATAAGCGCTAGTCGCATCAGTGGCACCTGCTGGACTATGTCCTCGTCCGAAGGCGAAACCAGCGGTACCTCCTGGTGACAAAGGTGATCCCGGGTGCTGACGGGTGGACCGACCATCGCCTCGTCATCTCGAAGATGCGCATTCGCCTACAGCCTCGCAGGAGACCACAAGGTAAGCGACCCCCAGGCAAGCTGCATATTGTCTTGTTGTCCTTGCCAGCTCACCATCTTCATTTCAGCAATGAGCTAGCTCACCGGCTAGACAACCTCCCCATCGCCGATGCCGCCGCTGCCGAGAACGCCTCCGTGGAGAACCACTGGTGTCAACTGCGAGACACGGTCCAGTCGACGGCGCTCGCCGTCCTCGGTCGCGCTCCCCGCCAACACCAGGACTGGTTCGACGACAACGACGCCGCCATCAGAAATCTGCTTGCTGAGAAGAACCGCCTCCACAAAGCCTACGTAGATCATCCCACTGAGGACAACAAAGCTGCTTTCTACCGCAGTCGACGCCACCTACAGCAACGACTGCGCGAGATGCAGGACGCCTGGACTGCTCGCAAAGCTGAGGAGATCCAAGGATACGCGGACCGCAACGAATGGAAGAACTTCTTCTCCGCGATCAAAGCTGTCTACGATCCGCCGACGAAGGGCACTGCTCCTCTCCTCAGCGCCGACGGCAGCACTCTCCTGACTGAGAAGACGCAAATTCTACAGCGATGGGCCGAGCACTTCCGAGGCGTCCTCAACCGTCCCTCCGCCATCGCCGACGCCGCCATCGCCCGCTTGCCGCAAGTGGAGACCAACGTGGACCTCGACTTCCCGCCCTCTCTCCAGGAAACCATCAGGGCAGCGCAGCAACTCTCCAGCGGGAAAGCACCCGGATCGGACGCCATCCCAGCTGAGGTCTACAAGCACGGATGTCCCCTACTGATGGATCACCTGACTGCGCTCTTCCAGGAGATGTGGCGTCAAGGTGAAGTCCCGCAAGATTTCAAGGACGCAACTATCGTGCATCTATACAAACGGAGAGGGAACCGCCAAGTCAGCAACAATCACCGTGGCATCTCCCTACTGAACATCGGCGGGAAGATCTTCGCTCGCATCCTGCTCAACCGCCTCAATAACCATCTGGAACAGGGCCTTCTGCCGGAAAGCCAATGCGGCTTCCGTCGTCATCGTGGGACCACGGATATGATCTTTGCCGCCCGTCAACTTCAAGAGAAGTGTCAGGAGATGCGGACCCACCTGTACTCTACATTCGTGGACCTGACGAAAGCCTTCGACACGGTGAATCGTGAAGGACTGTGGAAGATCATGCAGAAATTCGGCTGTCCGGAGCGATTCACTCAGATGGTGCGTCAGCTGCACGACGGTATGATGGCGCGAGTCACGGACAACGGAGCTGTTTCAGAGGCATTCGCAGTGACCAACGGAGTGATGCAGGGCTGTGTGCTGGCGCCAACCCTCTTCAGTCTTCTGTTGTCTGCCATGCTGAAGGACGCCTACCGCGACGAAAGCCCCGGGATCCGCATCGCCTACAGAACGGACGGTCATCTCCTGAATCACCGGCGCATGAACTTTCAATCGCGCGTATCCACAACCACCGTTCACGAACTTATCTTCGCCGACGACTGCGCCCTGAAAGCCACCTCCGAAGCGGAGATGCAACGCAGCATCGGCCTGTTCTCCGCCGCCTGCGAGAACTTCGGTCTGATCATTAACACGCAGAGGACGGTGGTGGTGCACCAACCTCCGACCAACTCAGCCACAGCCCCCAACGCGCCGCAAATCAGCGTGAATGGGACCCAACTTCAAGTGGTAGAGAACTTCCCGTACCCGGGCTGTACCCTCTCCCGTAGCACCAAAATCGATGACGAAGTCGCCCGCAGGATTTCAAAAGCTAGTCAAGCCTTCGGTCGTCTTCAAAGCACAGTTTGGAATCCTCATGGTCTCCAACTGAGCGCGAATCTGAAGATGTACAAGGCCGTCATCCTGCCGACGTTACTGTACGGAGCAGAGACATGGACGGTGTACACGAGACAGGCACGCCGACTGAACCACTTCCACCTCAGTTGTCTCCGTCGCATCCTGAGGCTGAACTGGCAGGATCGAATCCCCGACACGGAAGTACTGGAACGAACGGGAATCCTCAACATATACGCCATACTGAAACAAATGCAGCTGCGCTGGAGCGGCCACCTGGTGCGCATGGACGACGAGCGACTACCCAAACGACTCATCTACGGAGACGTCGCGACGGGTTCTCGCCGTCAAGGAGGCCAGATTCGCCGTTACAAGGATACCCTTAAGTCCTCCCTGAAGGGTTAGCAAATCGACCCGACCAACTGGGAAGAGCTCGCCCGCGATCGTCCGACATGGAGGAGAACAGTGAAGACGGGCGCTGCGACCTACGAAACCAACCGCATTGCCGTCGCCAAAGTCAAACGCCAAACACGCAAATCACAGCTGCGCCCTCTCCACAGTCCCAACACAAAACCGCTTCCAACGTGTCCTCGATGTCAACGGACATTCCGGGCACGAATTGGGCTTACTGGACATCTTCGGATCAACTGCGCCTCTCAAAATGCACCAAATGGCGTCCCTCCGCCCGCCTCTTCCTCGTCGTCTCCGCCGCCAACTAGCTCTGAGTACTCTTCTGAACCACCACTTCCATCATCGCCATCGTCCTTCTTCTTCTCCTCGTCCTCTTCTTCCCCCTCCTCCCCGTCCACTGCTCCAACGACGGCCGCTCAGGCGACTGTACCGCGCGCAACAACCGACACCATCACCACCTCCCCCGACTCCATTGATAAGGACCAGGACTACACCTTCCCTCACTTCGACCGCACCTTCACTTCACACATCGGCCTGGTCGGTCACTTGCGAATCCATCGCACAGAGACTGGCGAACCAGTGCCTGGAGCACCAACCTACACCCACCGCACTCGCCTCCACTGCCCACACTGCCCTCGCACCTTCACGCATCGCATGGGCCTATTAGACCACATGCGCATCCACGCGAGCAGAATTGACCGCAACTCCGACACACCCACGACAACCAGCACATACACCACGGCCAGTCCCACCCTCGCTCCATCGCAATGCTCGCCCATCACCACCACAACCACCATCACCACCACCACCACCACCACCACCACCACCGTCACTGCCTCCTCCGTAGCTGACACTGACGCCGCCGACCTCTCATGCCCACATTGTCCACGCACCTTCATCTCACGCATCGGCCTGATCGGTCACTTGCGAATCCATCACACAGAGACTGGCGAACCAGTGCCTGGAGCACCAGTCTACACCCACCAAGCTCGTCTCCACTACCCACACTGTCCTCGCACCTTCAGGCATCGTATTGGCCTATTCGGTCACATGCGCATCCACGACGACCTGCGGTAGACAACCGCCGGTCACACTACACATCCGCACACTTCCTACCCTCCTCCACCATTAACGACACACATCAATACTCACCCACCGCATGCACCAACCGCCACCTTCCACGCAAGTGGGAAGTGTGCATCTCGACTCGGTCCCCATGCGGCTTCGGCTGCACGGGTGACTTGAGTCCGAGACTATTCCGACACGTCAAGTGTCGTGGATAGGAAGGTTGCTGATTGACGCCCACACTCGGTTCATGCAGTTCGTCGCGTTGTGTGTGCGTGTGCGTTGTGTGGAGTGGCGGACTGGTGGGCTGGGCGACGGGCTGAAGCAGCACCTTCCACGGCACTCTCACGCAAGTGAGAGACACGCCGTTCAACCCCCGTTGTGTGAAATCCTGGTGTTTGTGTGTGTGTGTATTGGGGGCCAGGTCGTGCTGTGGCGCGCGCAGTCATTATCAGTCTACCATGACAGCCACCGCGCCCATTTCCCACTCCAGTCTGCTGACCGGCTCGGACAGCGGCTGGGGTGTGGGGATGGGAAGGGAGAGTGAGGTCGACGACTCAGCGCATTTTCCTCACTATAAACAATCTGACGCGCTTAAAGCTATCACGGTGCGCTAAAAGCCGTGGCTTGGAAGGTTGCCAACTGACGGGGTAACTTGGACCTCCTCCTTCACTGGAGGCGGTCTGAGAGTCAGGCTGCAATGGCTCCTATTTAATGTGGCCTTTATGGCACTCCCACCACAGTGTGGAATCCGAGCCAGGCGTTGGCGGCACGCCTAGGTGCGGCTTCGGCCGTGCCAGCCTCCAAATTTCTCTTGTGTTGGTTGAAGTCCTGGTCATTTGTTGTGTTGAGCAGGGGGCGTGGTGGAGCGCCAAGGTGAGGATCCGTCCGAGCCATCCACCTGCGGCCTCCCTCGTCTCCGGTCTTCTTGACTCTGTCTTGACACCGGGCTCAGGCGGGGGAGGAGGAGAGAGTGTAGGTAGATGCAGCGCAAGTCTACTGGCACTATAAACCCCTGCGTAAGTCACCGTCCCTGCTCCCACAATGCAGTCTGTGGGGCACACGATGGACATCGTCGAAATCGACGGTCGAACTGTCGCGTGTGTGTGCGTGTGTGACATGCGTAGGCGGACTGCTTATTTCTGTCAGTCACAGAGTTTCATTCCGCCTGCGGTCCTCCTGACTCGTCGGGGTCACGTGGATGAGGGAGGGGTGAGTGCGGTAGATGCAACGCAAGTCCACTACCACTATGATATGAGTGGCGTATTAGTCTCCATCGCCGCACAAACCTTACCGTAGGGCATATGGTTGACATTGTTTCGAACAACGATCAAACTGTCATGTTGAGAAAAGCAAAAAGTGAACTTTCAAGGAGAATTTGACAGGTTGTTTGCTCAATGGCTGGATGAGGCATTGTATCCACCCGAGATTTTGGATTCCATTTCAAAGCCTTAATCACATATCGCAGCAGATAAGGGATGCCGGAGCGCATGGAGGGTTCTGCATCTACACAATCGAATGCCAAATTTAATAAGCAGTCAGCGCAGATGTTCAGTGATGGTTTAGTCACCGGCAGTCGAGGCGTCAACTCTCGCAGTTTTCATTCGCGCTCTCCCAGTAATGACTTATTTCTTTGGTCAGGTAAACCTTTTGCATTCAATAGGTGATTGTTGCGTTTGTTGACGGACTGATGGTTGAGACGTTGCCGTGACTATTACTACATCGACAGAACAACCTTAGGTAACCGCATTTGAAGCTGGTCTGGTGATTGCTGTTCGGAATCCGTAATTGCCTCGTATTTGTCGCCTTCCAGAGCGCTTTCGTTTTTAGACCACTACGAAGCATGCGGAAACTGGGGGAGGCCACCTGGTTGTTTTCTTCCAGCTAAATCGTGGATTTTACGATGTAGAGGATGCAGTGAGATGTCCATAATATAACAGCGAGTGTACCATATACATACTGAAGCCAAATTTTTGGTTCGCGGTCCTGTATTGGAGTGTCTTTCACATATCCAGTCAAACTTAAAGTTCAGATGAAGATGCGATCACTGGAACAAGAAGTTTATTGGCCTGACTTTTCGGATTCTCACTCGAACCCGTCGTTAGAGACGATTGCAGATAAAGGTAGTGGAGGCACAAAACTGCAGTATTGATTGTATGTAGCTGTCGTGGGGCAACATGCGTACTATAATTAACAGCTCCCGCGATCACCGCTGAGGGTATTAACTGTTCCAGGGATTACATCTTATTTTTCTTCTGAACTGCTTCCTGGAACTCACCTGTTTGCTTCTGTCGGCAAACGTCAAGTGTATTTCCAGGCAGAACCTCTGGAGTTGGGTTCGTCCGAGGTCATTCTCGGTTTTATCGCGGTTTCAGTTCTTAGGGGCTTCTGGAAAGGATGAGACGGGCCTGACCTCAGAAGATAACATGACTTCGTTTGACAAGATTCTCATCATCATCATCGCCATCATCATCATCATCATCATCATCATCATCATCATCATCATCATCATCATCATCATCATCATCATCATCATCATCATCATCATCATCATCATCATCATCATCATCATCATCATCATCATCATCATCATCGCTGATAGAAGCGAACAGGCGAGTCCCAGGTAGCAGTTCAGAAGATGAAGATGCGATCACTGGGACAAGAAGTTTATTGGCCTGACGTTTCGGGTTCTCACTCAGGTGCAATATCGCCAATCGACTGACGCATGGCGAGAGCACAAGAAACGGCCCTAGCCCGATTCTACGGTCTCCCAAAAGTGCACAAAGAGGGCGCTCCTCTCCGGCCTATCGTGTCACTAAAGGGCACTCCAACCTACGGACTGGCAAAGTGGCTGTTCCAACGTCTCAAGTTTCTGACCTCCGATTCGAACACCACAGTCAGCTCGTCAACGCAATTCTTGGAGAAACTTAAAGGAGTAAGTCTCCTGCCAAGCGATATCATGGTTTCCTTTGATGTCACGTCCCTTTTTACTTCTATCCCGCAGGACCTGGCAGTCGAGACAATCGAACTACTCCTACGAGAGAAGTACGACGAAACGGAGAATCGCCTCGGACACGCCCAAATCATCCAGCTCCTGAAGTTCTGTCTCAAGACGTACTTTACATTCGACGGAACAATCTACGAGCAGGTGAAGGGAACGCCAATGGGTTCGCCGATTTCGGGACTCATAGCCGAGGCGGTCCTTCAACGGCTGGAGTCGCTGGTTTTCCGACACCACAGACCGAAATTCTGGGCTCGGTATGTGGATGACACCTTCGTCGTCATCGAACGGGATCAGGTGCTGACTTTCAAAGAACAACTCAACGCCGTCTTCCCGGACATTCAATTTACGATGGAGGAGGAGGAAAACAATCAGCTGGCCTTCCTGGATGTCCTCGTCTGCCGCAAAGATTGTGGTGGCCTAAAAACCAAAGTGTTCAGGAAAGCGACAAATACGACGCAAATACTGAACTTCAATAGCAACCACCCGATCAGTCACAAACGCAGTTGCGTAAGGGCGCTATACCGGCNCACGAGGGGAGCGCACGACTGAATACTACCCCAGGTAACAGCAATGACAAGCCAAGGTTCAGAGTAATTCTCGTTCAGACCAGTAATGAGACCGCGGCCATTATCGATCCGAATGTCGGCAACTAAGTCATTACTTGACATCATATCCACCCACGACGTAACAGTCACCGTGAGGTCTTCTTATTTCTGCCTCTGGCACGTACTGTTAAATATCGTCGGTTCTTTTCTGTAAATGCAATTGCTATTTGGAATAAACTACCCATGAGTGTGAAAACTGTGCAAAATTATCCTTTATTTAAGAGAACTATTACTCGATTTTTGCATTCAGAAAAGCTCCCACAAATTTTGGGGCTGAATCTACTGATCGACTGTACCGTAGCGATGGCGTTTGTGGTCTCTGAACACTATGGCCGGTCTCACCAGCTGTTCCTCAACGCCTCTACTTTGGCTATCCCCAGCTTCATGAAAGGAATTTGACGTCCGATAATCTCCGATACCGTGCAACCTTCCCCCTTCTTGACGGTCGATATTCTACCACCGCCGGCAGTTTTTCCTCCTGAGCCCTCCAAACCATAAAAACTACAATCAACTATATTTTTATCCCTTTAGCTCAGGAGTTTTTTTCACTGCCGGTCGGATTTATGTTTAATCGCTTCCCTTGACAATGCCTGTAAACTGGCATTAAATAAAAAATTTATTTATTTTTTTATTTATTATGCAAATATTGCACATCAACAGCAACCCGCGTTGGTATTTTCAACGCAGCTGTGTCCGATCTCTAGTTTACCGAGTTGAATCACACTGCAGCACATCAGAAATAAAAAACCTGAACGGTTATTGCTTTCGTAACCTCTTCGGGGTCAATGGATACTCAAACAATTTAGACGAGCAAAGCACTGGCCGGGCGAACACTCAAAGGCCAAATCGGCAGCAATTCGAAGTCTGGAGGGTCTTTGACTACTCTAAATTTTGCTGCGAATCAGTCACTAATGCCAGTGGGAATAGTCTTCCTCCGCTTTCCCCGGTGGTTGATTACTCTGCCCACGCAAAATGTTAGCCCAATGCAGAATTTTGTCTTGTTTGTTGATAGACTATTAGTCGAAGAAGCATATGCCAGGCGACCTGCTACTCACCCTGTTATCCGCCTTTATCTCTCTATTATATGTGATTCGTCTGACGGAATGATGCGAACTGGCTCAGTTGAATAGGCCGACACACGGAGAATGATTTCATTCTTCTGCACCAATGATACGTGTTCAGTTATCCTCATGTGGACAATCTTCCTTTTCGAATTCTATAACTGCTTCGCCTGTAAATGCACAAAATGAAGTTGTTTGCACTGGCAGTGGGTTTTTCAGTCCCCACACTTGTTACAATCTGCGTGTAGCCCCTGATCAGATTAATACTAAAAGCCCGCTGGCAGCTTTGATGGCTCCAAAATGCTCTCGAAAATTTGTGATCGATGGTGTTTAATGTCTCTTCTCGTCTTTTGTTGCAGTGGTTAACGAAGGTGCCGCATCTTTGAGAGCAGCGATTTGGTTCTTTCGGCGCGCCAGGGTTTTTTTTAGCTGACTGGAACACTACGGTCCATTTGTCAGCGCAATTCTTCCTTACTTCGGTAGAGGGGCTCTCGCCGATAGTTTATATGGAGCTCATTCGTCCCGTTGTGCTTTACGAGATCTACTTCTCCCCTGGCAGTTAACTCTACCTGCCTACCCTACCTGATTTCCATGACCGTCCCGTTAGAATGTTGTTGAGCGCTAGGAAGTGGGACTTGGACACTTCGCATAATGGATTACATTTCAGACAAATGAACTGCTTAGTAAATCGGTCGAAGAACACTACAGATACTGAGCAAAGATATATTAAAGAAGGCGTCTAAAGATATCACTGACTTACGAAACTTACGACTTCAGAATTGTAATTCTCAGTTTCTTCGTGTTTCATTCGAGGACGACGTAATGACATACGGGGCGGCTACAAAAATTATAAACCTGATCTATTTGTCCTTATGAGAAATATTGCTGTTTGCAGTCGTTAAAAAACCGACGTGGAATTTCTAGATTGTTGAAATTTTGTCCCGTGATGATTCTTCAAAGAAAGTCGGCGATTATGAATTAAATCATTTGTCTGCGTAAACGCAAACAAATTCACGAGCAACCGCTTTTGGATCCAGCCCGTGAGCGGCAGTGGATATTGTCGAGTACGACAGACGACATGTTGTTGTTGTTGTTGTTGTTGTTGTTGTTGTTGCTGCCTTCGTCATCACCATCATCACCACCATCGTCATCATCCCTTCCATGAGCCCTTACAAACTCCTGCGCTAATCGAGAGTAGGGCTGGCTGAGGGTCATAAATTTTACCTTAAAGAAAACTTCCCGCTTAATCAAAAAATAAGTAATCTTAAAACCATGGAAGTGGGGGCCACCTGCACCTGAGTGATAATATGTAAACACATGTGACTGAATGGATCCGCATGTGGACTACGTGGGGTTTTAATGTCAATGCAGATAGAACTCTTGTTAGGAGGTTTAAGCTGGGTTGACCTACCGTGTGTTTTGATGAATGTGCTGCAGGGGAATGAACCACGCGCCGTTAGACTGTCTTCTGACAATGTGGGCAAGTAAAGTTTAAGTGACGTACGGACCTCTGGACTTCAGACATTACTTTTCCTGATTCACTGCGTTTGATTCATTGATGGCGGAGCGGACTAGTGCATAATTCGAATATTCGCTTCCCAAGGCGGTAATATAAGGCTTCGCCATCACTCCAGTTGGGAAAAATGGTATTGTGTGGGCCTTTTGTCCTCACTCAAATTTGCGGTAATGTTTTATGATAGCGGGAAGGGGTGGGTTAATCGTGTTCACATTGCACTGAGACCGGATGCGTTAAAAAAGTCAATATATGCCATGAATTCCAGTTGGCGACGTGGAAACAATATCCAGGATGGCTGCCTTCATTATTGACACACATCGCATTATTTTCTTTTGATTACAACTAACTTGCAAGCTTTAAATATGAACGCTCCAGTTCTTGGGCGATTCATCATGTTTGGAGATTGTGTGCGAGAAATACCCAGATCTTGCGTTTGGACTGCGATTGCACGAACACCCGTAGCGACCGCACATAGATTAGTATTTTATTTGGACGTTTGCCTGCCGTGCTCTTGACATGTTCATTCTACCTCAGTTAGGCCCGCTTCGCTACAGTGGAAGTGCCGCGCCCTCCGTTCTTGCCAGGACCTCGTGCTTTGGATTCTTCCTCCCCAACTCGCCTCTAAAAGTTTCCGCAGCCGTATGATAAGAAAATTATTCGGTTATTTTGTTTGTTCATTATACTTTGTCGATGTCTTTGTTACGTACATATCAGCAATCCGAACAGTTGTAGTCTACACGTTCAAATTCTTTTAAGGATAAGACTGCGGTGATTACATAACAGTGCACTGTAGTCGGCCGAGGGCGATACGTGGGTTCGGTTATTCAGTTCAACATTTCGTCCGGTTGCTCGAAAGCGTTTAATGATGCGAGGCGGGTTCTGTTGATATTTGTCATGAGTCTACATTTGGCGTCGGTTGATTCTTGATCGTAATTAATCTGAAGTTGGAGTAGCTGATGATTACTAAGCAAACACTACACCGTCCGTGAGTTTCGACTGTCATTCGCGAATAGGTGGTCATAGACGTTAATCGTGGGTACTGTACTTCCTGCTTGCATAAAGCTGCTTTCGAATATTTGACTATCCATTGGGTAGTTCCTGTGAAATGTAGGCAGTTTCTTGCGGTGAGCGTTTATTAGCATGAAGAGGGGAGTGAAACCAAATTAGACCGGAACGAATACACAGTCCTACTTCACTCCATTCTCCCGGGTGGAATCTTCAGATATTATCCATCGTTATTGACATGGAACAGTGTCGGTCGCGAAATTGCCATACAATTCGTGTGAGTAACACGGACTTCTGCATTTCAGCACGATTTTCCAAATTCCATGACGATCTGCTGTACCGAAATTCTTCGTCAGGCCGACGAAAGTACAACGGAGGTTGGTTCTCATTTCTGACACTTTTCTGCAAATGAAAGGTCTCGAAAATCATATATGCGGTTCTGTGGGGTTTACGGAATCTGCATCCCGTTCCAAGAGGAAGTGCCTAAACCTGATGCGTGTTCAGACGATTGAGCAAAACAAGGCGCGACGATTTTTACCGCGATGCCGGTAAGACACAGGTTATCCCGCCTATGCTGCATCTTCTCACGCAAAAAGCACTGACAGTGTGCTCGTTATACAGTTTTTATGCCAACCTGAAGCTCTTCGGCGTTCATCAACTCGCATGATGGACCTTGGTATCCATAGTGCTACAAAGTAGGCCTTCGTGACAGGACACCATACACGCAATTTATTATACCTATATCTTACATCCATCCATCGTGCAAGGAATTCAGTGAATATTCCGATCCGTAGCAAGTGTAGAGGACGCCAATTTTATTGGGAATCACATGTCGCGACATTTTTCCTAAATATAATCCAGTCCGTTTTTCAGCCATGAGTTCAAGCATTTCAAGATAACCACCTAACTGAATTATTTGCCCAAACAACCTAGGATGTAAAGGAAATGGATAAGTTTGTTGGAAGTCTTTTCTGCCCTAAACTCAAACTTCCAATGCTCAATGTATGATAATCTGAACGTATTCTATAATATCCGGGACCAAACGCAAAACTATGTATTTTAAATGAGTTGATTATTGTTGTTCACAAAAGTTACTAATGGACTCTCTCTGTAAATGCACAGAAATCCCATCAGTTACTCAACGCATTCAATTCAGGCTGAAGGCCTAAATTCAATTGGACCCCCAGCGTCAAGTTTTAGGCTTATTTTCTGATGGTGGGCCGATTATAAATACTCAAACCTATCAAGTTCAAGCAAATATAAAGAAATGATACAAAAGGATTCAAGGAGCTTTTTAAACAGGTGGAGAGTAAAATACTGATTCCGCTTACCCAAGAATGATTCCAGCTGTTTCTGAAAGCATGATCCGTCTCTAGCCATATCCTGTTAAAAACATGTTCTTATAATATCTCAGTGGTAGGAAGAATACATAGGAGTTTAAATGAATCTTCCGTCTGAAATACAAGACACGACCTTTCCACTGTCCAAAAACGGTATTGACTCCCTTCGGTGGCGCTGGAATTTTAAAAATAAGCAGTCATTTTTAGACCATAAAATATAAAATACATGACTGCAAAATTGCGGACATAACAATTTGCTTCCCAGATACTTCATTTTTACCATCCCCCTTATTGTCCGTAATTGTCTGAGCGTTCTCATTGCGCCATGCCATTTTTGCAAACATAATTATGGGCACTTTTATGTAATTTTAAACGTTATCTCCATGGGACCCAATTCATCCGTCTATCGTTATGATCAATTTAACAATAAATTCGAGATTCCGAAAGTAAGGATATGACGAATTATTTGTTCTTCGCGTTACTTAGATAGTAGAATTTAATGTCGAACTTTTTCCATCTTGGACAGTTACGGCTTAGTTTTACTAGATTGAATGTTAGGCGGTCTAAGAGAATGAATCACTTATTTGTTGTCGACGGGTGGCGTGTGCAGTTCTCGGTGCTGTGATTAATTTGTGGAAATTTAACGCAAGCGCTCTCGGCCTCGCTATGGACATCCGTAAGAAAAGATAGTTTCGCATAATTTCCTTCGCGCAGTCGTTAGTTCGTTCAAGGAATTACTGCAACAGACATGCAAAGTGAATATCGATCCAGACTTTAAGTAGGTGTTTTCACCGATCATTCCTACTTTTAGGACACTCTTAGGTCTGCCGGACATCACTGACGAGAGGCTCCAGGTAATCCATACGTCCCCTTAACTTGTTAAGATCGAAGTTCTGAACTGGATAAGGTTCAGTCGTGTGTACCTATCACAACCGCAAACCTTCAAGGATGCTTTAAACGAGCTCAACAGGAGTCTGGCTCATCGCTCATTCCTTGTCGGCGATGCCTTGACTCTTGCAGATGTTGCAGTGTGGGCCAGATTAAATTGCAAGTTTATACGCCCTCTAACTTTCCCTTGCTTTAAGTTCTGTTCTATCCATGCTATTTTACATTTCCACTCGGTTAACATTTCGCGTACATTCTGCCACTTTCGGCATATCGTTTTTGAATTGTCATGCATTCGGTAAAGAACGGTTAGTCCGCTAAAGGACGCCACTTAATGGTTTTAAAGACGTCGGAACCGTTATTGGTCCTTTTGTTCTCTACAGTGTTTGCGCTATCGTCTAAACGATGGCGATAGACCGACTCAGACAGAAGGGACTTGTCGACCAACATTGTCGAGTGTGAACTTCGTCTACTGCCAACAATTCCATGCGCCAAGTATTCAATGCGATCCTTCTCGAGGGTCTATCTGCTGCACAATTGTAATATTTGAAGAATTGAGTCATTTTTTTCGCGATACCATAATTGTGAGGTTGTCAAAATGTATCAACCCAGACTAGGCCTTCAGCAACAGCTTTCTCCTGGCTCCTGCTGCACACCAGCTAAAACCAAATATTACGTTTGATATGATATGCTTTCGGTGCATTTTATCTTTGCCGTTTTTATTAACCTCTGGCGGGAAATGATTAGTGATTGATGCCTTGTGTTTAATTTCTTGTTTCCATTATCACAAAATAAGTACATGTGAAACCCTAAGCAGTATGTGGGCTTCCGGTATCTGTATTAGGCATTGGTAGTTAAGCCGCACTCGAAGTAAACATCTTCCTTCGTAACGGTCGAGCAACACTCACGTCATAATGAAGGAGATTTGTGCTTATCAATACATGCGTAACATTACTAGACAAAAGCCATCACTTTTGATCATATGATTAAGCCACTACAACTCACATTTCTCGGAAGAAATGCGGCTTGGAACGTATGTCCAACGTACCAGTACCAGGTAATCTTCGTTTTTCTACAGTGCCG